CAACCTAGAAGTCCGTTAGCAAGAAATTGCAAGTAGATAAATAGGTACCACTTTGGTGGGAAGGTAACAGCGTTCTGTGCGCCTTGGCCGGTCACATGCCGGTCACATGACCACGGAAACGTCTTAGGACAGCGCTGGCTCTTCGGCTTTGAAACGGAGATGAGTACCGCAACCCTAGAGTTGGACTCGACTGGCTTTTGAGCAAGGGAACCTTTACCTTTAGCAGCAGAAAAGAGCAAGAGTCCAGTAGCACCTTTCGTCTTCAAGGTGCTACTGGACTCTTGCTCTTTTCTGCTATAACTCCATCCCATGAGAATATCACCATATATTTTCCCCCAACATGCCTCATATCTCGGTGTCATTATGCTGTGAGATTTCAGCAGTCGGTTGGGGGGGGGGGGGGGCCTGCCACGGGGCTGCCTCTTTCAGCGGGAACTCCACACCATGTGTAGTTGATTCTGTCGAACATCACTTCAACTCTGCAGACATGGAGAATGTGGATGTGAAATTGAAGCAGGCTGGCCTCAAAAGGGAGGTTAAAGGCCTCTGAGCATGCAGGCGCTCTGTTGTGAAAGTCACTTTGTCAAGGCATAATTTACGGAGGTTCAGTGGCACAGTCATAATTCTGCGATTCTTTCAGGCTGCCTACTTTTATACCTTCAGGCATGTGATTTGTCAGGACAGCTTTGTGGTCAGGGTGTTCAATCAGAGCTTCCCTTAGTAGGCTGAAATGACCCAGAACAAACGGAGCAGTTAATCTTCTTTATTGCTGGAATCAATAAGCAGATCCATGCTAAGTGCTGACAGTTTCTATGCAGGGAGTGAAAAGGAGAAGCGGCTGTTCCTTGAACCTGTAGTATGTTACAACCAAGAAGGAGTTCTCTATTGTTGTGGCTGTTATTGAATAATTCCCTTTCATTTTGTTATCATGCAGAGGAGCTGCATTTTATTTCCTTTCGCCAGGTACGTTTTAAATTCAAAAGCCAGCTGAACAAATTGGGGGGGGGGGAGAGATCTAGTAAAGGTAAAGGTTCCCTTGCTCGAAAGCCAGTCGAATCCGACTCTAGGGTTGCGGTGCTCATCTCCGTTTCAAAGCCGAAGAGCCAGCGCTGTCCAAAGACGTTTCTGTGGTCATGTGGCCGGCATGACTAAACATCAAGGTGCACAGAATGCTGTTACCTTCCCACCAAAGTGGTACCTATTTACCTACCTGCAATTTCTTGCTTTCGAACTGCTAGGTTAGCAGGAGCTGGAACTAGAGACGGGAGCTCACTCCGTCATGCGGCACACTCGGGTCTCGAACTGCTGAACTACCGACCTTCCACAGCCTGCAGTTCAGCGTCTTAACCACTTGAGCCATATTATTTATGTTCTTACTTATAGATCTACACTGGCTAGGACCCAGAGAAATGATAATTATATTAATAATATCCATAGGTTCTTTTTTAAATGTTCCAAATGCTTCACATAGATTACTCAGGCAGTCTTTACAAGAAAGCTGGAGAGTTAGGTCAGTGAGTTGTTGTTTCCCTGTTGCACTGGGGGATTGAGGCAGGGTGCCACAGAGGCCTGGAGACAAAATGTGCTGTCCCTTTAATAGCAGCTTTTTTGCCTGGAAATGGGCAGTTGATCTTTTCATGGAATGGAGGTAAATAACATCACCTGGTAAGTGACATCACAGTTAAAGGGACAGGACATTTTTCTCCAGGCCAGTTGTCCTGGACTTCCATAACAAAGTGAAGGCCTTGCCTGAGGACACCTGACCTGTTTGTGGCTGAAGGAAGATCTGAGCTGCCTGCTGAGGGAAGATTTGAACTGCCTGCTCATTTTCTTACCGTGCCGCTATACACAAACACACTTGAGAATCATTTCTCCAGGCCTGGTACCAAGTCGTATCACTCGCACAGTTCCAACTCATACATACACCCCCTGGAAGCTTTACGATATTTGAAGCTTTGTTTATTTCAGTTTTATGAACTACTATTATAATACTAAATGTAACGCAGTAGCCTTCTGAAGGAAATCCTGAAGCATCTCTCTTCTGCTCTTTGTAGCGTATGCACAAATGATTCTGAGTTCTAGCCAGTGCCATAAATTCCACAGTCAGCTTAGCTTGGGAGAGTCTGTACAGAAGCATGTTCTAATGACTCAAATTCTTGGCACACATAATCTTATCATAAGAGGCTTATTGGGAAGATACACATGAGAAGGTAGCGTGGGGCCATGGCACAAGCTAGCATGGAAAGGAGAGGCTTTGGGGCAGGAAGCATTAAGAGTCCTGTTTTGCAGAGTTCTCCTTATGACACAAGCACATCTCTGTGAGCCGCAATTAGAAGGAGCAGAAGAGTTGGCTTTATCTCCCACGTTTCTCTACCTCAAGAAGTCTCAAACAACCACATTCCCTTCCTCTCCCCACAACAGGCACCTTGTGAGGTGGGGAGCAGACAACCGTGACTGGATAAGAGGCCACCCAGCAGGTTTCATGTGGAGGGAAATCAAACCCAGTTCTCCAGATTAGAGTCTGCCACTCTCAACCACCGCACCTCACTGCCTCTCAGAATCAGTCTGAAAGGTGAGCATGCCACTTCAGAAAGTTCAGTTCAGGAACCATGCGGTGGCATTGCCTATGAAAGGGACCACAGGGTCACTCTCTGAGTCATACAGAAAGATCCCTCCATGCTGTAGAGGTCATTTATCAAGCAGTGCAGTAACCCACCTTGTGTGTAAACTAGTTTGCAGTCAAACTCAGGGATACCAGAAAATCCAAAAATGCTGCAGAGGTGGAGTTAGGCAAGGCCCACTAATCTGGCCAGGAAATACAAAGCTGTTGCCGGTTTTTCATTTGCAAATATCAGTTACCTCAAATGAGATGCATGGGCCTTCTTATGGCAGCATTTGCAACATCTTTGCTCTGTTCCCCTCTGCTTTACCAGCACTTTGTCTTCTGCTTTGTTGACCCTTGTTTATAGCTGACAGCTGTTTTAAGAAGATGACTGAATGGATCAGATGACTGAATAGATCACTTGGATGTCACCCTTTCTTGTAGCAATACACACTATAAAGCCTGCCTCCTTCTCTAAAGGAAACTATAACCTGGAGCAGCGGACTGGTCTTCAGAAGAAAGTATGCCCTCAGCACAAACACTTTGGCCATTTTGGATTAATTTGTTTAGAAAATGTATGCACTGCCTCCCCAGGGTCCTGTTCAAGGCATCTCACAGCAGTAAAAGAAAGCTACACAGGGCAATAAAACAAGAAAAGCCAATAAGCAATAAAAACAAGCCAAGCCAATTAAAAAGAAGCTAATAAAAACAAACCAGAAATTCAAAACAACATAAAAGGAACATTGAGCAGAGTTAAACCGTAAAATATTCCTTAGACTAGAAGCAGACCATCGAACAACCAAGAAGATGGAACCCTTTAATTTAAAAAGCCAGGGTAAAAAGAAAAAAAGAATAAGAAATCTTCTGGCCTGGCACCTCAAGGAACATAAGGCAAATGTCAGGCGAGAACATAAGGCAAATGTCAGGAAGGCATTCCAAAAATGAGGTCTCGGCACTGAAAAGGTCCTGTCTCTGGTTACCACCCACCTCAGCTCTGCAGATGGGGCAGGGCTTGCAAAGAACATGTCTGGTGGGCCAGACAGGCTAGATGGACCCTAGAGCCATGTTAGGGTCTACAAGGAAACTGCTTCCTCTAGTGGTGGTAAACAATGAATGGGGGTGGTGCCATACAGAGGGGTACCATCTAAATAAGCTTCTGTGGCGGCGGTGGCGGCAACCAAACTGCTCCTTGACAGCTTGCACCGGTAACAAACATCACGTGGATTCAGAATCATTCAAAAACAAAGGGTGGTTTCCCACATGCTCATAGATCACTCGATTACCGTGTATGCAGGATTTGATTGCATATGCATGTTTGTTGCTTAATTACTGGAACACCAGGTGACAGCTTCCATGCATCAATGGGTCCTCCATAGATATAGCAGTGCACCACACTGCTTTTATGGAAAGACAAATGCATTCTTTTTCAACAGAACCAGTCTATACATTGACTTGCCAGTTATCACAGAGACTGTAATCAAATGTAGAGAAACGAAGCACACTTCATAATGCCAGCAAAACTCCTAATTTTGGAGTGTATTTTAATGTGATACATACATGTGTGAACCATCCCTTAATTACTATGTGTATATCATGTTACTAATCTGCATACTGTACAACAGGAGCCCATGTATCTACAATATATGCAAAATTCAAACTATAGGATTGGATCCTAAAACATATTCTGCCCGTCCTCCAGATTGGGCACGTCTTGATGGCTGCACTTCCTCAAAACATTTCTGAGCATTATGGAACCCTGCAGTTTGTGGCAAGATGTGGCCTTGGAGTTTGTAGCTAGAGGGGGAGAGATGCCTTTTGCTCATGGAAGCAATGTTTTGGTCTCAGTCCAGGGTCGTTCAGATCTAGCTTCTAAATGATAATGCAGTGCTTAGTTGTTTTCATGAATAGGAAATGTTGACTTGTGTTGTATACAGACTCACAAGATTTAATGGTCGTTTGAAACCCATGGAAATAGCTGTCTTATGACAGCAACAGTAAAGAGAGACTCATTGTCAAGATTAGGCGCATGGAACCTATTGCCTTCCCATCGAGTTGTTTATAACATTCTGTTTACTTCATTTGAGGGAATAATCAGCAAATTGGCTATGCTAGATTATAGCTTCTGCCTTGTTTGTTTGAAAACTATTAAAGCTATTCTGCAAAACATCTCAGTTCTTGCCTTTGTAACTCACACCCCTAACTTTGCCCTTGCAAATCTTTTTCGTATATGTTTAATTTTCTTAACATTGAAAAGGCATCTAATTCCTATTCCTTTTTGTTACAGATGTCCAGGAGATAAAACCATTTGATCCTGTGGAGTATTTAATGGAAGCAGTATAATGTCTTTCCTGGACCGGATTGTATTACGCTTGGGAACCTGTTGCTAAAGTACTATGACATGTCTCTAGCAATCAGAAAAAGAAGCTGGGAAGAGCATGTGACTCAATGGATGGGCTTGCCTTTTGGTTCGATTGATTCTAATATATTATGCAGGCATGGCCTAGTTGCTGACAACTTGCCGGCCAGTATGGAAAATGATGGTGTCCGGAGCAGTGGCCAGAAAGAAACAAGTGCTTCCTTGCCAGATTGCTGTCATGGTGGAGAGCTGGTAGGTTTTCCCCTGAAGCTGCTGGGTAATGTTTCCAAAGAGGTGGATGAAAATGACAACCATCAAGAGGAAGAAGATCTTCTCTCCCTGGAAGCCAGCACAGAAACTTTGGTCAGTGTTTCTGTTGGGGGTGATGGTGAGGATGGTGGTGGTGAAGGAGAGTTCAGTTTGGAGAGAGCCAACCACCACTCTGCTCAGGTTGAAGAGGAATTGTCAGATGGCAGTAGCAGAGTGGAAACAGCACAACCCTTCAGGGACACGGAAGCAGAGAATGAACTGGATCATGCTTACCTGTCATCTAGGAAAGCGAATGAACCACAGTATGATACAGTTCCCCAAATGGTGACAGTAGAGACCAGTCCTTGTGATAGAAGGGGAGAAAGTTTAGAACTTTATCGTGACAGCAGCTCCAGTGAAAATGATCTGGGGGAAAACTCAAGTCAGTCTCAGGAACATATTGTGTCTGAGGAGCAGGTAGTCCATGCTGCTGTAACTGCACAACAGCACAGGAAATCAGAGACTCCTGACAATGGGTGTGAAAAACCTCTCTGCAGTCCAGCACACGGTGAGTTTTCTCCTGGTCATTGTCAGGACCAATATAATCGAGCAGCCTTAGCGACAGACTCCAATGACTACCTTCTCCCACTGCCAGGCTCTCCTTTGCTACCAGAAGACAATGATTTGGATGGCTTTGCAGATTCTCAAGACAAACTCGTAACAAGTGTGCCCTTGGTGGAAGGTGGGACTGATTTAAAGAACAGCATGGCCACACGTGAGGCTACAGACAGTCAAGTCATACTGCGCAAAAGAAAGGTAAGATGGGGAAATGGTTAACAGGGTCTAGTGGGGGGGGGGGTGTCATGAATTACTGGAAGAATTTCTCAATTAGATACTTTCTCAGTTAGATAGATTCCAGCTGTTGAAATGGGTCTGTGAAGCATTGGGTGCCAATCTCGTTTATGGTTCACAGTCAAAGGAGCTTTGGTGTATTTCAAGGTTCCTCTCAAAATCTCAGATCCACCTTCCTTCAATTTGGTACTTTCTTGGTATGTTCCTAATGCATTTTGTAATGATGCTTACAGTGGCAAGGTTCACTTGGGGGTTTTATTTGATCCCTGGCTGGTGGCCAGGGGGCACTTGGCACAACCCTATTTATTTCTAACTGTCTTTGAAATAATTTTGCTACTCTCCATGGGCTTTATAAAGATTCTGCAGGGGACTACTGGATGAGATCCTATTTTAGATGATGAAGTACACAAAGTCAATGGGAATGGGGTACTGGCAAGGGGAAATATGTGTATAGATTTCTAAGGAAGTCCCATAAGGCTGGCAACATTTCTGAGCAGGGCTTCATATATGAAGTGTCTGCAGTTTTTCTTAAGGTGGAAATCAGAGTGTGTTTGGAAGGTCCAGTGCAGGTGAAATGTCCATAGGGATCTGCATGAAGTCAAAAGAATTTCAGTAAGCTTCGTGACATTGATTGGGGAGGTTTTGTATATCTTGGCTTGCGTGTCCCTTAGGACAGTAAATGCCATTTTGAGTCTTGGTGTGCTTTCTTGCATTGCTAGCCGGGGTTGTAGGCTTTTGTGCACCAGAGTGTCATTCACTTCTGCTCTTCTCACCTCCACTACTAATTGGTCTGAATGGCGACTGTGTTTCACTACGTAGCAGCAATGCTCAGTCCATGTGTCCAAGGCTTCGTCTCCATGAGAAAAGAGCATATGAGAAAAGTGTTTGCATGTTAGACTTCTCAGGTGTCAGGAGGTGCAAAAGGATGCTTATGGTAACATGAGAAAGCACTTTCAGGACTGCACAAATGCTTCCTCGGACTCCTCTGACAGAGTCGTTGTAAATCCCACTTGGTAAGATTTCTCATCAGGCCCCTGAATCCTTATTCACAAAGTAGAATTAATTTTGCCTGCAGCTGGACTGCAGGATTAAACTGTAAATGTAGCTTCCCCCCACCCCCCCGGCTGTGCTGTTTAATTCTGTCAAGTTGTCACTGCCTGTGGCTGGTCTTCAACTCCTCAGTATTTGATAACAGCAGTTAAAGCAAATTGCTGACTCTCACCTTTTGCCTGTTGCTAGGAAAGATATGCAGAGGGGAGCAATACAAATTCCAAATGGCTCCTTTCTGAAAACCGTAGGTGAGATTTGCAGTGTTCGAGGCAGTGTCTAAAACAAAGGTCCATATGGCCCTCCAAACACAGTTACTTGCGCTGCTTGGCATTTAGAATTGTAAGAAGGGCGTCAGGGGGTGGTGTCCACGCCCCCGAACTTACCAGCGAAGAGGTAGACCAGATGGCCGCCAGCAGGGCATATTAGGCCACACACCCCTAGTGTAGCCAATCCTCCAAGAGCTTACAGAGCTCTTCTTACTGGGGCTACTGTAAGCTCTTGGAGGACTGGCTACACTAGGGGTGTGTGGCCTAATATGCAAAGGAGCTCCTGCTACCAGTAGAGCCCTGGCCGCCAGAGGAGGAAATGGGCAGGGAAACTCCAGGCAGCAGGGGGTGGTTCTCCAGGGTATTTTTGGCTTGATGCGGGAGTGAAGTGTAAAGTACTGGGTTCGCACATGGAGACTCAGACTACGACATGCTAACTAGACACGTTTATTGTACCTTTTTTTTTTTACAATTTATTACGTTTTTATTGCAAGATAAATGAAGCATACATAAAAAAATAACATGCATACATCACTAATACGGTGAAAAACAGTGATAATATCAAACACACTTATAACGTACAGCATATCAAATCCATAGGATTTCCAGATAAACTGTAATTTGCACTGTCTCATATCATTACTAATCTAGTATTTTAAACGGTCGTTTAACATAGTGCTCTGACCCTAAAAGAAGCTCACAACTTATAAATGCATCCACTCAGAGTATCCAAGATTTGATGGCAGTATGTCCTTTTCTGTGAAATATGTTATCAAAGCGAACCACTTTCTTACAAATCTAGTTTGTGACCCTGCATGTCTTTGTGTGAGTATGTCATATGTGTCAGCTATTTTCTCCATCACAAAATGATCCCAACATTTGTTTCTCCATTGGTACATGGATGGAGGTACCGAAAACTTCCAAGAGGCAGCAATCGCGAGCCTTGCCGTGGCTATCAAAGTGGCAGACAGTTCAGACAAGAGAACACACACGGCCCAGCAAGGACCAACTATATACACTCCACCCGGGCACACCCACAGTTCCATTGGTGGGTTTGAATTTCCCTCCAAGGTCCTATTGGAGGACTCGGGGTGGTCTAGGATCCTTGGTCCCTATTGTGTTTGGAACCAAGCTAAGGACTGAGGCCGCAGACCCCTGGTGGCGGTCCATGGACATAACAGAGGCACACATGCCTGGCCTTCCCTGAGCTGTGGCAGAGTGTGGAGGAAGCTGGCAGAGGGGAGGAAGTGGCAGGCAGGAGCACCAGCAGTTGCTGGTGTGCCAGCAGGGAAAGGAGGTGTGCCAGCAGGGAAGGGAGGCTGGAGGCCAGGCCAGCAGCCCCACTGCATGCTGAGGGTAAGGAAGAGGTGCGGCCAGAGAGGAAGTGCCCCACTGGGTTTGAGGGAGGTCCATTTATCTTATTATTGTGAACCTGTCAAGTGTATTATATGGTTTTATACATTTTAATCTATCTTTTTGTACCATACTTGCTGAACTTGGACCGTAATAAATTTGCTTGTTTGTTTGGAGCCCCACCCAAGGGGGGGGGATTGGAGAGCCTGAGGGGGAGGACTTGAGTAGCAAGCACAGGGCAGGGCAGGGCAGGGAAGAAGAGCATGGGTGAGACCCATACACACCAGGAGAGCGACTTGGCTACCGCGAGCAGGGGAGAGGGAACAAGGTCATGCAAAGCCACTTTCCCTGTACTATCTGAGCCCAGAGCCAAGCCAGCTCACTAAAAGTCATGCCCTGGAGGGCCCTACCCCACTAAGCTCAGACCCAGAGCCCTCAGGACTTGACAAATGACCTTCACTGTTGCGTAAGAATCTCTAGATGATAGTGACACCCAGCAAGAATGGTTAGAGTTGGAGGCAACCGAATTGCTGTCTCAGTCCTCAAGGGAGACTGCTGCGAATTTTATGTTTTTCTTCACCCTTTGAAAGTGGGTGTGATGCTTGAGCAGGTATTTCAACTTGAAACATAGACTTTTATCCTGGATTTGTGTACCAAATGTCATTCCAGTAGTGGAGCATTTTGTTGAGTTTTTCTTGCAAACAATATACAAACAAGCTAGTTGAACCAAGGGTCTCACTTTGGTTGAGAAAAGTTATTAATGTATGTGTGTTATATAAATATCCATATACTTCAGACTATTTACAGATTTAATTGAAATGCACATATTGCTCTGTGCCTTTTAAGGTAAACCAATAATTTGTTACAGTCTTGGACCAACAGAATAAAACTGAGTGATTATAAGACTAGGACCCGCAATACTTGCGGGGGGGGGGAGGAGATGCTCTGCAGGAGGAGAAGGAAGCAGCCACAGGTGAGCCTTCTCCCCTGTCCCCCCCCCCGTCCCCGGCACCCACGGCGAGGCGGGACCTTGGCCACCAAGCTTCCCCCTCCCCAAACGGTGGCAGCGATGCCTTGCTGGCCCGCCGAACTCCCCCCCCCCCCCACCCCGCTACCCGCAGGGTCTTGCCCGCCGCGCCAAACTTTCTCCTCCCCCTGGTGGCGTCAGCGAGGCTTTGCTGGCCCGCCAGGTTTTCCCCTTTCCCCCCTCAGCAGCGGTGGTGGTGAGGCCTCGCCAGCCAGCCAAGCCTTCTCCGCCCCCCACGCTGCCATTCCAAGAGCATTCCCTGCACATGCGCAGGGGACGCTCTTTTACTTTCTGGGGGATTTCAGTATCCCCCCTATAGTTTTTTCTACTTTTCAGATTTTTGTGCACATCTGGGGATCACCTCAGATGTGCAGGAAAATCTCCCTGCCCCCCAGGTGTTCCCCATGTGCAGATTTAGATATCCGCACGTAGGGGGCACCTTCGCTATTAGATATATAGATAGATATACAGTCTTCCATTAAGATGTATTTAAAAAATACTGCCAGAGTCTACCAAAGTGCAGTGTTGATTCAGTGACACATATTTATTTTTAAAATTGCTTCTCAGACTTCTGACTATCAAGTGATCAACCAAAGTGCCTTTTAAGGTAAACTGTTGTATTTCCAGTTATTGGTGTATTGGTGCACTGTGATCTATGAATGAAACAGTGAATTTGGTATTATATTCACTCCAGTACATTGATCAGTATTATTGTATTAGCTTACAGCATAAATTCAGCTTAATATTGCATATGCATATACATCACATGGTTTCCCTACTCTTTGTAAATGTACGGCTAGGTCTTAGTTCAGGCATTCATTCTACTACATGGCTAGAAGTCCTTTTGGGGATCTCTGGAATTCTCTAACCAGTCAGCTGACTAAGAAAGGTTTTGGATGAAACCAGACATTCTGATTGTGGTAGAAGTGGTTTGAACACACATTCTTAGCCTGCAGCAAAAAAAAAAAAAAAAAGGTTTCAGAATCCACATGTATCACACTTTAGAACTTAGCCTTACTGGCTAGCCATAATTCTACCCTGAGTTATCCCAGGGAGGGGGAAGGAGGAGGCGTTTCCCACTGTCTTTAGTAATTATGGCAATCTCTATAAAGAAGTTGTTCATTATATGATCCGATATATAACCCCTGTTAAACATTAGGATCATAATTCTATGCTGGAGGGGAACTAATGTGTATTTAGGATATGGGCATATTGTGAATCTGGCAGTTAATATGAAAACCCAGATACTTAAAGGCTGGTTTGCACAG